CTGCTGCTGCTGCTGCTGCTGCTGCTGCTGCTGCTGCTGCTGCTGCTGCTGCTGCTGCTGCTGCTGCTGCTGCTGCTGCTGTTGCTGTTGCTGTTGCTGTTGCTGTTGCTGTTGCTGCTGTTGCTGCTGCTGCTGCTGCTGCTGCTGCTGCTGCTGCTGGTTGTGGTGCCGCTGCTGAGGTGCCTGTGGTTCTGCTTCTGGGGGCTTTGCTGCTGCCGGTGCTGCCGCTGCAAATATGGGCCTCTCTGCCGCTGCTCCTGCTGCTCCTCTTGCTGAGGGCCCTACTCACGCATGCTGTTTTCTGCTGCTGTGCTGTTGCTGCTGCTGCTGCTGCTGCTGCTGCAGATGTCCCCTGGTCTGGGTGAGGAAGCTGTTCAAGGCCGGGTTTTGCCGCTGCTGCTGCGGGCTCAATCTGCTGCTTCTGAGCTCGGCAAAGAGGAGCGAACTGCTGCTACTGCTTCCATGTTTGACCTTGCAAAGGTGCTGCTCGTGCTGCTGTTTCTTTTCTTGCTGCTGATGCATTTGCTGCTGCTTCTGGCCGTGACCCTGGGCCTTCTGCACCTGGGATTGCTGCGGTGTTGCGCTCTTCACTGTAAACAAGACCTTTGCTGCTGCTGCTGCTGCTGCTGCTGCTGCTGCTGCTGCTGCTGCTGCCCGTCTAAGACAATGTTGCAGCTGCTGCTGCTTGAGGGTTTATTTGCAGTCTGTTTCTCCTGGAACGCGTCTGACGGCTTTGTTGCCTGCGCTTCTTCAATTGCTGAAAGACCCAGAGCCGTAAGAGCAGCAGATCTTTGCTGCAGCAGCAGCAGCAGCTGCTGCTGCTGCTGCTTTTCCTGCGTGATCCTGTTCTGGTTTTTAAGATGATGCCACTGCCTGCGGAACACCATGTGCAATTGCTGTTTGCGCTGCTGGAGGTGCAGCGGCATTGCTGCTGCTGCTGCTGCTGCTGCTGCACAGTAGATATGTTCCAAAGAGCAACGGTGACACTGACACTGCAGCAGCAGCAGCAGCAGCAGCAGCATCAAGACACATTAGCTGTAGGATGTTCTGCTTTTCTTCTTCATTTCAACTACAGGATTTATGAAGTTCTTAGCTGCAATGCTGTGCTGCTTGCAGCTGCGTGCGCTTGGCAGCAAAACAGCAGATCTGCTTCTTTTTAACTTCCGTTGCACAGTTCTTGGATCCGGCTGCTGCTGCTGCTGCTATTCAGCAGCAGCAGCAGCAGCACGGCGAACTGTACATGGATAGTCGGAAAGACAAGCAACAGAAGGTCCAATACTCGCAGCAGCAACAGCAGCAGCAACAACTGCAGCAGCACAAGCAGCAGCAAGAGCGACGAGTGCAAAAAAACCAAAATGATGATGACAGACCCAAACGAGAGGATGAGCAGCTTCGGGAACAAGGCCAGCAGCAGCAGCAGCAGCAGCAGCAGCAGCAGCAGCAAGACGCAGCAGGACCGGAGGAACCCGCTAATTCTGAAGGCAGCTGCAGCAACAGCAGCAGCAGCCTCACGCCCCCTCACAGAGATGCAGCTCACGAGGTGCGTGGCGCAGCAGCAGAAGCAGCGGCAACAGGCACAACGCCCTCAGAAGCAGCAGCAGCAGCAGCAGCAGCAGCAGCAGGCTCCCAGCCACCCGCAGGGGCTGCGGACGAGAGCCCAGAAGCAGCAGCAGCAGCAGCGCAGCAAGCAGCACCTGAACTGGCACAACCCGCAAGAGAGTCTGCAGCAGCGCCAGCAGAGGCAGCGGCAGCAGCGGTGGAGTCCGCAGCAGCAACACCAGCAGCAGCAGCAGCAGCAGCAGCAGCAGCAGCTACAGCAGATTTGCATGCGCTTCTAAGGGAGTACAGAGCCCTGACAGAATTTGGACCAACTGTAGAAGAGCTGGATGGCCAAGCTTTATTTCCTTTTGGAGATGCTGCGCATATCATCTCAGGTGTGCAGATACTGCAGCAGCAGGCAGCAAATTCTGCTGCTGCTGCTGCTGCTGCTGCTGCTTCTGCTGCTCCCGCTGGCTCGAGGCGGCATTTGTGGCTGCAGCTGCAGCTCGCTGGGCAATCTGCTGCTGCTGTAGCATCTTGCAAGCGATTGCTGCAGCTGCTTCTCGCTGCGGCTCCGGCACGCCTGTCTGAATTGCTCCAGTTGCTTCATTTGCTGCTGCTGCTGCTGCTGCTGCTGCTGCAGACGAGGCCTTTTCTGTTGCTGCTGAAGTTGAACCCCCCGTTGGCTGCCACTGCACAGTCTGCCAAGTTGTGAAGAGACGGGGGGTTGTAATGGCTGGGGAGGGGGCCCTCATGGGGGGCCCCTTTACAGATAGTGCAGCAGCAGCAGCAGCAGCAGAAATGGGGGCAGGCATGCTGCTGCCAATGTCTGCTGCTGCTTGCTCTAGCTTTACTTTTGCAGCTGTTGCTGCTGCAGCTCAAGCTTCCGGATGGCCGCTGCTGCGTCGCTGCTTCCACAACCTCCTGACCCACAGCTGCTTGGTGGTGAGACAGGTTTATTCAGCAGCAGCAGCAGCAGCAGCAGCAGCAGCAGCAGCCGAACAGCAGAAGCAGCAAGAGGCAGCAGGAGCAGCAGCAAAAACTGCCTGGCGTTGTGAATTTGTTGCTGCTGCAGGTGCGCAAGTCGCTAGCGGCATCGCTCTTTGCTGCTGCGGCTGCAGCACTCCCTCCCAACAGCCGCTGCCTCTGCTGCAGCGCGCAGCCGCAGCAGCAAGAGAAGCAGCAGCAGCAGCAGCAGCAGCAGCAGCAAGGAGGCAACGCGCACTGCAGCAACTGCGCTGAGGAGCGGCGCCTGCGCGAAGCTGAATTCTCAGACGCAGCGCGGCGGCTCCTGCACGACAGCAGCGCCATCAGGGTCAGTTTGCATGCAATTTGCATGCAGCTTGCATGCAGTCTGCATGCAGCTTGCATGCAATTTGCATGCAGATTGCATGCAATTTGCATGCAGATTGCATGCAATTTGCATGCAGATTGCATGCAAGCTGCTTGGGACTGGGGCTTTTTAGACTTGGGCTGGGGACGCAGGCAGTGGGACCCAAGGGCTGTATTCAGCCGTAGCAGCAAAGCCCCAAACAGGCAGCGGCTGCGCCCCAAGTTGCATGCAACCTGCATGCAAACTGCATGCAGCCTGCATGCAAACTGCATGCAACCTGCATGCAAACTGCATGCAACCTGCATGCAAACTGCATGCAACCTGCATGCACGCTGTTTGCAATCCGCACACAAGCTGCATGCAGACTTCATACACAATCTGCATGCAAGCTGCATGTTGGCTGGGTGAAAGTTTCATGGGAGCTGCATGCAAACTGCATTCAGCTTGCATGCAAGCTGCATGCAAACTGCATGCAAACTGCATGCAAGTTGCATGCAAACTGCATGCAAACTGCATGCAAACTGCATGCAAGCTGCATGCAGACGTGGGTGGCTTTGCAGCTTGCGGCGATAAAGACGGCGGGGCTGTTGGCGCGGCCTCTTCCGACTTCTTCTCGGCGAGAGATAGTCGGGGTGAGAAAAGTTGAATTTTAAAATTAATTATTTAATTGAGCAATTCTTGTGGAGGAAGCAGCCACGAGCTGCTGCTGCTGCTGCTGCTGCTGCAGCAGCTGCTGCTGCAGCAAAGCAGCAGATCCGAAATTCTCGTTTCACCACTTTTTGCGGCTTCGCAATTTGCATTCTTTCCCCCCCCTGCGCAGCGGGGCAGCAAAGCTGCTACAGCTGCTGCAGCTGCTGCAGCTGCTGCAGCTGCTGCAGCTGCTGCAGCTGCTGCAGCAGCTTGCTGCTTCGTGCATGCGCCGTTTGTGGGGCTTGCTGCTGCTGCTGCTGGGGTTTGTGTTTCAGTGTTTATTATCTGCATGCGAATCTTCGGGCCACCAGTTTTCCATTCGACTTATTGCTGCTCAGCAGCTGCCTCCTTTATTCGATTTGAAAGACCGCCAACTGCGCGAGCTTCTCCTTGCCCTTGCCTTCTCGTTAGCTGCGCGCACCCTGCTGCTGCTGCTGCTGCTGCTGCTGCTGCCGCTTGCTGCTGCTGCTGCTGCAACTGCTGCAGCTGTCAAGGGCAGCACAGGCAGGCTTCTGCGGCGGCAGCGCCGCTGCTGGTGTTGCTGCTTGCTCTGGCCTGCGTGCAGCAGCTTCTCTTTGAACCTGTGCTGCGAGAGCCAGTTCAGCTCTTGCTGCTGCTGCTGCTGCTGCTGCTGCTGCTGCTGCAGGCTGCTGGAAGACCCTGTGGCTTTGGTGCGGCGGACTGCTTGCCGCTGCATCCCTTCGCTGATAAAGTGCTGCTGCCCTTCTTTGCTGAACCTTCCGGAGCCGCTGCCGCCTGTTGAAGTCTTGATGCAGCAGTACGCAGCAAGCAAGAGCAGCAACAATGCCAGCAGCAGCAGCAGCAGCAGCAGCAGCAGCAGCAGCGGCAGCAATGGCACCAGCGGGGGAGCATCTTCTTCACAGGGAACTCCAAGTCTCACGTCGGGCGAAGAAGTTCGCGTCGTGCAGATGTTTCTCGAGAAGTTCGCCAGGTGCTGCTGCTGCTGCTGCTGCTGCTGCTGCTGCTGCGAACTGGAGCTGCGAGTTTCTTTGCTGCTGCTGCTGCTGTTGCAGCTGTTGCTGAGGCTGGCTTCGGCAGGATCGCTGGCTCTGCCGTTGCTGCCGTAGCTGCCGCTGGCTGAGTTTTCGCTGCTGCTGCTCTAGCTGCTGCTGCTACTCTAGCTGCTCATGCTCTAGCTGCTGCTGCTGCTCCAGCTGCTGCTCTAGCTGCTGCTGCTGCTGCTGCTCTAGCTGCTGCTGCTGCTGCTGCTCTAGCTGCTGCTGTTGCTGCTGGCGTCGCTGCAGCGCACGGGGGGATCAGCAAAGTGGCTCGCTGCGAGTGTGTTCGCTCAGGGCCCCCCGCTATTACTTGCGGCAGCTGTTTATTTACGTTTGTGACTCCATAATAAGGTCAGTTTCAACATTTCAGCTCTTCAATAAAATACTTCATTGAGGCTTTGTCTATTGTTTGTTCGTTTGCTTTCATTTGAGCTCGTTTTGCCCTTTTCCGCCTCGCCACTGCTGCTGCTGCTGCTGCTGCTGCTGCTGCCGCTGCTGCTGCTGCTGCTGCTACTTGCTGCTGCTGCTGCCGCTGCTGCTGCTGTGAAGGTGTCGCGAGTGCTGCGGTTTGTGAGGGACTCAGGAGTTTGTCTTTGTCTTTTTTTCGTTTATATTTTCTTCGAGCTGCTGCGCGGCTTTCTGCCGATCCAGTTTCTTCCGTGCGGCTCATTTGGGCGTCCGCGCTTTCGCCGCACCTCAGTGCAAATTCCGGAGTTCTTTCTCGAGAAGCATTGGTGAATTTTCCTCTTTTTCGCTTTATTTCCTTTTATTTTTGATTTAATTTCCTCTTTTTATCTTCTATTTTGTTCATTTTATTTAATTCCCCCCTTTTCTGTGTTCTATTTGGTTCCATTTTCTCTTTAATGTGCTCTCGCCGCACCTCAGTGCAAATTCCGGAGTTCTTTCTCGAGAAGCAT